AGGAAGGAAGGAAGGAAGGAAGGAAGGAAGGAAGGAAGATTTCTGACACTCCCTGCCAGCTCCCCATAAGCAAAGTCAATGGGGAAGCTGGCAGCAAGCCGTGAGTTGCTCATGCTCCCACTGCTTTTTTGCCCTTGGTCATTTTCTCTGTTTAGGCAAGGAAATCTCTGAAATGATGACCCAATGGGTCACGGGTGATCTAGTAGAACATATGAGTAAAATCAGTTGCAGGTAGTCCTTGTTCAGCAACCACTTGTTCAGTGACCTTTTGAAGTTACGACAGTGGTGAATGAGGAGACTTATTGTAGTTGTGGCCATCGCAGCATCCCTGTAGTCATGTGATCATGATACAGGTGCTTGGCAACTGGCTTGAAATTACAACGTTGCAACATCCCACGGTTGCATGATTGCCATTTGTGATCTCCATTGCTGGCTTCCAACGAGCAAAGTCGATGGCGGTCACAAATGGCAGCAGGAGGTCACAAATGGCGGTCATGTGATGTCACGCCTAACGACCATGTGGGATTTGGCTAATAATTGCAACTGGAACTGCCAGAACTACTGTTGTAAGTCAGCCCTGTCACGTGTTACGCTTTTATGACTATGTCACTAAGTGATGGAATTCCCAACCCCAATTACCATCATTAACCGAGGACTGCCTGCATTAAGTACAATTTCCTGGCATTAAAGATTTGAAAAAACTGCTTTTTGACAATAGTGGAGTGATCCACCATCATCCAAATTTCTTTAATTTGCTTATAGATGATAGAAATTGCAGGTTCCTAACCACGTTTCAGAACTGTTGCTATCAATGTATTAGAATACATCTAGCAATGACTTCCAGCCCTGAACAAGTAAAAGGTAGATTTCAACTTGGGTTGAAATGTTCTAATGCCATAGTGGGACAGTGATGTCCTATGGAGATTTTTGTCATGTTTATCTGAACAGTTAGAGCCATCTTCGTGTAGACAGACTCTAAATTATGACAATGTTTTAATTCCTTCCCTTGTTCAGGCACGGCTGAGGCGTGTGGACATGGTTGAGAAGGAAGATGTCAATGAAGCAATGCGCCTGATGGAGATGTCTAAAGATTCTCTTTTGGTAGACAAGGGACAACCAAACCGGTGAGGGAGGGCCTTTGCTCTTTTAAAACCCTTGTAATCTGTTGCGTGGGGAGACAGGAACAGAGATAATCTTTTCGTTCACTCCCACAGGATGCAGCGTCCCTCCGAGTTGATTTTTGCAGCTATCCGAGAACTGGTTCCTCCCGGAGGTACTCACGCTGTCCAGCTCACGGAGGCTGAACAGCACTGCGTGTCAAAGGGCTTCACCCCCACCCAGTTTCAGGCTGCTCTCAGCGAATATGAGGAACTCAATATCTGGCAGGTGAACCAGAAAAAGACCCGCCTCACTTTTATTTGATTAGGGTGCATAGTGGCTGCTGCTGCTGGCTCTTAAATGGAAGCTGTTATTCTCTCAATAAATTGTCTGCATCTTTGGGGGTGTCTTTTTCAGAGACAGTCTAGGGAAGATAGCTGTTGTTTATGCTTAAGACAGCAACTGCCAAGCCGTGTTGCAAATATCACGGACTCTCTCTGAAGTCACGGTCCTGAAAAGAGCCTCAGGGAAGTGGGGGGTGGGGGGGCAAACAGGAATGTGGCCTTGGGCATGTGAAGACAGTGAGTGGGCGACCCAGCCGAAACAGAATTGTTGGGGAGCCGTCAACTAAGTGCAAATTGAAAATCGAGCAAGGCTCGCTTAGCCCAGCAACAACCACTGAGGCACAGCTAAGGTGGAAAATAGGATTGCCATGAGAAAGAGGGCTGGGCCCCGATAGTGCATCAGCATGTTGGCCATGCAGTGCAAAGGATGTACTAGACTCTCTTAAGAGTGTACAGAAGTCTATCTGGTACATCAGATCTAGTCATGCAACAGAGTTTATAGTTTTCATACACCAACTTTATATACAAGTAATCTTATGAAAGGAAAATGGCATCTCCTTAGTTTGTTTCTCAGTAACTTCTATTTGAGGATTTGCTTCAACTTCAAATGCTTTTCATCTAAGTTTCTCTTGCCATACTGCAATTACTTGAGAGAAAGGCTTCTTTTTTTGGCAACTTCCTGTTACACTGAGTTGGCCATGAGAACAGAATTTGAGGTCCCCCCCAACATTCTTTCTGGTGGCAGAGTATGCCTTTAAGATACATACAATGGAGTCATCCAATTGGAAGGGGCTCCTGAGGCCAACCCTGTCTCAGTGCAGGAACTCAAATCCTCCTAGCCAGGCAATTTGTCTGGAGTCCGCTGACTACATTCAATGGAGGGAAACCCACCCCACTGCCTGAGCAGCTGTTAAGCTACCCTTACCTTAGGAAGGTTTCTCTAATATTTATTTGGAATCTGCTGCAGAAAGCACGTGGCTGCTTCAATTTTTACCTAAGGCCGAGTTTTTAATCTATTGATCATTGCTGCCTCTGAATCTTCTAATTTCTGATTCTGTACTGTTTAAAGTGTCCAGAACCATGGAGGTCAACCAAAGCAGACTACAGTTATTTCCTGCGATCTGGAAATCATATTAAAGTTTATGCAGCCTAAACGATGTTTGCCTTCTTTGCAATCCTGTCACGCTGCTGGCTTATTCAGCTTGCAACAAATTAGTCCAAATTCTTTCTCCCCCAAGTACTATTACCAGACTACGTATCTCCCATCCTGTTCTTGTGCATCAGGTTTTTGTTTCCTCGCTGATAAACTCTGCGCTTGGCACATGGATGGAATACGAAAATCATAAATCAGAACATCTATTCTAAACTGTCCCTGGCTGTGCTTCAGGGAGAACGCAGGACTTGGTGGGCTTTTAACGGGAAGAAACAACATCATGCTTGTGATTCTGGACCACTTCCTATCAACACACAACATCTCGGTCAGCACAACCACTTTATTAGGGAGCACCAAATCTCAGAAGAAAAGTCCGCGCATGCGGCGCCCAATGCTCTGACGGTCGTAGAGGATGTTGAACTTGTTCACAAACTGGTTCATGGTGTTGCAGGTCTTGGTGATGGTGCCAAGATAGGTCATGAGGCCCACGTCGTTGCATTGCTAGACAGGAGACAAAATATGCGTCTGAAAGCTGGGAGAGGCCAGGGCTACATTGCACACAGCTCTGAAGCAGCTGTGAGGTTTTTTTTAGCACCATCTGCTTTAAGAAAACTTGTGAAACATTTTTGTTTCCCTGTGTTTCACTTGGTTGGCTGCCACTATTCCCTTTGCCTCTCCCGTGTGTTCCGTTTGTGTCCACCTCAAGCATGGCAGCTTTTCCGTGGAGAATAGTCCCCTCTTCCTCTGTGAACAACTCCATTCTGCATTTAGTCAGCTGTAAGCTAGAGCTCTTCCCCTCCCAAGAACTCACATCATAAAAATCTGTCTTGAATTTGTCAGTGCTCAGTACGGGGAGGCAGTGGCAAAGGGCGTAGGCTTCTCGCAAGATCTCATGGTTGAAAGGTACCTCACCTGTATGGGGGGGAAATGCATTGGAAGGTCAACACTGGCTACCCATTTGAGAGATGGGACATTGACTGGGCTTGCCTGTTACGTTTCTACCACTCTGTCTCACCTGCTTCTGAAGCTTTAACGTATTCCAAAATAAGTTTGACACGGCTGTGAAGCATCTTTATGGCACTGTGCTGTGCAATGAGGTGCTCAGCAACTATGGAGACAAACAAGGGGAAAAAGTCAGAGTTACGCTCTTAGTGGATGCCTGGAAGCATGAAATTTCAAAAGGGCTTAAATGCAGTAAGGAACGACAGCTCATCTCCACCCCACAATATTGGGGGTAAGTTATACCCCTCCCAGCCAAACTATATCTATATTCAGCAACAGCTACAGTAGGTTCATCCCCTCATGCCAACCCTCAACACACCCTAACTTACCTGTGGAGTTTTCCCCACTGCCGGTTGCTGTCATCCGTGCCACATGATCAACTCCAATGCGCTCAGCCTCCTCTGTGGCCAGTGTGTATGTCAGCTCCGCAAATAACATTGTGGCCTTGAAGCAAAGGGAGAGGAGAAATGAGCAGAGTTCCTAGATGATGGAATGGAAGCCCCTTTACGGTCAGGCCGCACACGAGCGCCCCTTTCGATTCCCCAACTCGAAAGCAGCTCATGGAACAGAACGCGCGAGCTGAGGCTTCCCAGAGCTCCAGACTGCCGGGAACACTGGAAGGGGTAGGCGGCAGAAGCTGCAGCGAGAATTACCTCTCCGTTGATGATGTCGATCACGGACTCAAAGACGCTGACGGGCAGCTAAGGGAAGAGAGTGCGCATAGCTCACTGTTGGGCCCTTGCTTGACACAGAGGCAGCTGCTGGAGGGTTCCGGCAGGCAGGGAGGAGGTATAAGTACTCACGTCGGTGTGCTTGGTCATGGGGTTTAGCTTGAGGAACAGGGGGCTTTCAATGATCTCACAAACCTGTAGAAGAGGAGATGGTGCCCTCAGGGACGTCGGCAGGGGAACTCCCCAGCCCCCTCTCAGATTGGAAAACGGGCTCACCTGTTTGTGGACGTGGATGTCAGACTGGTCTGGGGGGCCGCCGGTGGTGTACCAGCCCAGGAACTCCAGATCCTTGAACACCTGCTTGACTGCGGGGGAGGGACAGGCGGCTCAGACCGGCCTCCACCGGCAGCTCCCAAGCCCCGCTGCCCGCCCGGCCGCCCGCCCGGCCCTGCTCACACTGCTCCTCCTTGGTGTAATAGTACTCCTTGTCGATCACCACGTTCTCCTCCACGGCGTGCGACAGCAGCTCGAAGGAGTTCATCACCTCGATGTTGCGGCCCTCCTGGCAGCCGATCAGGGCGCCGATCACTGGCGAGGGGGAG